GGAGTTGGATTAGGAACAGCGAAACTGTAAAGGAGATGGGTAGGATCTGGCCAAGCAAGATGTACGTGCGCACCATCGACGTGTCGTATCTGCGCGTTCTTGCTATATATGCATTAGTACCATCTCATACGCGTGTATCGAACGTTACCCACCCTTTTGCGCCATATAGATATTCCAAAACCACGTCGCCAGAATCGCAGCCTGCGTCCACACCGCGTTCGGCGCATCTTTGACCAGATCCTGCGCGAAATCTTGGAATAAAGTCGATTCTAACATCCACCTCTTCACCTGATCCGCACTGACATTACTAAAGCTCCTGCTTTTATCTCCGTTCCATTCCAGATAGTGCGTGATCAGGAACATGAGCATGTGGTAGGATAATGTCGCGAAACTGATCGAAGCGAGGAACGCGTAGATCTTGATGTGGCGCGCTCGTGCTGCCTTTGCTGCATTGAGCTTCTCATCTTTTGACGTGCTAGAAATGTTGAATATGGCTGTGTATTGAGCGTAGAGCGAGTAGCTGATCTTGATGGTCGCGTAAAGTGCCGCGACGATGTAGGAGAGGAAGATGGTGGTGCCGATGTAGCTGTTGGGTGGTGTGGCGTAATACACCAGCGCGTCGTACCCTGGGATTCCCATCTTGCGTGTCTGTGCTGGCGAGGTATTATTGCTGGAAGGACTGTACCAGAGAAATTAATGGGCGACGTATATATCATTGCGGCCAGACGCGAGGTTTCAAGAGTGTGCGATGATGCCTGACGTCATGACACAGTTGGTGTCTGAGAAATCGGGCGACGCGACACTTCGGCGTCTTTCTCCTCCGTCAATCTACACGCGCGACATCACAAAATGCGGCCGTGTTCATCTTCGCGCGCTATGTAGTAGTCATTGTTCCAGCCATCTCTCGCGTTGCTTGAGGGTTGCGCCGGGCCGCCCCCAGAATCTAGGATGCCTGACTACCTAGTTCAGGTAGCCGTGGAGGCTACAACGCAGCACAAACTAACAACTCAACGATGTTACGCGGCATGTAGCTGTCAGGTTGTGGGATGCGACGCATTCTGCGAGCTTTGAAAATATCGAATGGTCGAACAAAACAAGAACTATCTGTAACGTACTTACCAAAAGAGAAGGGCTCGTCAATGGGAACAGCTTCAAACGAGTTACGGGGCTCTCAACACCATAATCCGGACTCTTTCGACGGTACGACCCCCGCAGTTTGTGACTCATGAGCTCGAAGTTTGGCACGACCATTGGAGACCTATCATACTTCAGCGGTAGGAACTTCCCCACCCAAGGTTGTAACAGGCAGCAGCCGAACGGTCAAGTATATCAGGAGCGTGCGCGCTGTTTCTTGAGATACCCCAACAAATTTACCTTTCAACTCATCAAACCAAGAACAAGAACAGCAATGATGCGCCACGTGTGCGGTTGTTACATCTCCCATCCCGGAACACGGGAGCGAACATACCTCCCCCAGATCAAGGGCGACGCCCACACGACGATTATCTCCACGGCCGCCCGCACAACCTTGATGCAGACCTTCGTGAACCGGACCAACGAGTCATTGGATGAGATCCGATATGCCTTTCCGCTGTTCGATGGCGTCAGCGTTGTCGAGTTCTTCTGCCAGATCGGCGAGCGTACTATCTACGGCCTAGTCAAGGAGAAGAACGAAGCCAAGAAGACCTACGAAAAGGCCAAGGAGAGAGGCGAGGCCGCAGCGCTGCTTGAACAACTAGATGAGGCGGCGGATGTCTTCTCAACTGCTATCAGCAACATTCCAGGAGGCGCATCTGTGTATGTGTCCATCAAATACATCCAAGAGCTCAAGCACGATGCCGAAGTCGATGGAATTCGTCTTACCATACCTGCTTCCATCTCGCCCCGTTATGGATCCTATCCCGGAAAGCTCCAAGAGACATCAGCCGAGATTGATTCGAAGGGCATCTCCATTACCGTGGATGTCAAGATGGCAGACGGTATTCCTATCAAGAAGGTCATCTCGCCATCACATCCCATCGAAGTGACGCTTGGGTCGCTCTCAACAAGTACCATCGATGAGGACGCCTTGCTCTCGCAAGGTTCAGCAACGCTTTCCCTATGTACCACAGGCCTAGACAAAGACTTCGTTTTACAGGTGGTTGCAAAAGACGTCGGCGTACCTCAGGCGATCCTAGAGACACACCCGACGCTCCCCAACCAGCGAGCATTGATGACCACGCTAGTACCAAAGTTCAATCTCAAGTCGCAAAAGCCCGAGATCATCTTCATCGCGGATCGATCGGGTAGCATGGGTGATCAGATCCCCACGCTGGTGTCGGCACTCAAAGTCTTCCTGAAGTCGATCCCTATCGGCTGCATGTTCAACATCTGCTCATTCGGCAGCAGCCACTCGTTTCTTTGGAAACAGAGTCAGTTGTATGGCCAAGATACACTCGAGGAGGCTATTCGACATGTAGAAGCGTTCGGGGCCGATTTTGGCGGGACTGAGACACTCTATGCGGTCAAGGCCTGTTTCGAAGCTCGTAACACCGAACTTCCTACCGAGCTCATGCTACTTACCGATGGCGACATTTGGGCTCAAGACCAGCTGTTCGATTACATCTCCAAGAACACGAAGAATGGCAACGTCCGTGTCTTCCCCATCGGTATAGGTGGAGGTGTGTCTAGTGCGCTCATTGAAGGCGTCGCGAGGGCCGGAAGAGGCTTCGCTCAGATGGTTGCAGATAACGAAAAGCTTGATAGCAAGATTGTTCGTATGCTGAAGGGTGCACTCACCCCTCATATCCAGGATTACCGTCTCGAAGTCAAATACGAAGATGACAGTGTCGAGTCTGTTACCGACAACCTTCGTATAAACCTTCACCTGGACAACGAGAACGACGAAGAGCAGACGAAAGCCCCAGACGCCGACGCGAAGCCCATCTCGCTCTATAATCCGGACGTGGTGGAAGAGCATCCAAAGGACGGCGAGTCGAAGGACATCTTCGCGGGTCTACCGGAGCTAAAGCGCCCCACGCTTTTGCAGACACCTCACGAGATACCAGCGCTCTTTCCGTTCAACCGCACCTGTGTCTATCTCCTCATGTCTCCAGAATCATCACATCTGCAACCAAAGAGTGTTGTTCTTAAGGGCACCTCACCCCAAGGCCCGTTGGAGCTCGAAATTCCGGTCGAAGCGCGCAAAGAGGCCGACGAGATGATTCATCAGCTTGCTGCCCGTAGAGCAACACAGGAGCTCGAAGAGGGTCATGGATGGCTATCCGAAGCTACCGTTGGAGATACTGACGTCCTGCTCAGGAAAAACTATAGCTCTCAGTATCTGTTGCTTCAGAGACGCGAGGCTGTTCGTCTTGGAGTGGAGTTTCAGGTCGGCGGCAAGTACTGTTCATTTGTAGCCGTAGAGTCCAACGAGACCGAAATCGCCGAGAAACGCCAAAAAGCTCTGGAATCGACAATCAAACGGAGTGATCTAGCGGATGACGATGACTGGGAGGTCCTAGAATATAGCCAAGCATGCAGATCACCGGTTACCACTTCGTATGGTGGCGATACACGATTTGCCAGTGGACCTGCATCCGCGTCGGCGAGGTCTGGACCCTCCCCTATGTTCCGTGGAGGCTACGGCGGCGGTCCCTTTGGCCGTACTGGCGGCGGGCGAGGCGGTGGAGGCGGACAAGGCGGACAAGGCGGACAAGGCGGGCACTTCCAAATGGCTGCTGGCCCTACACTATTTGGTATGAATAGCGCAGTGGACGATTCCGACTCTGACAAAGACATGGGTTTTGGATGTTTCGAAAAGGCCAGTGCAGCACCCATGGCTCATCCTGGCCAACCGTCAGCGCTGCGTACGTTGTCTCCCGCGCAAGTATTAGAATCAAGGGGTCGGTTTGGTTCGTCGAAACGGTCGAGTCGGTCGGCCATGGGTCCCTCCTTCTCTCCGCCACAAAGACAGAAAGTACAGGAAGAGACCGGCACACTCCTTCAGCGAATCATCGCGCGGCAGTCCTTTGAAGGGTCATGGGAAGCCATCGTTAGGCTTCCGTTCGATGAGATGAAGCTCGACCGTGACGCCGCTAGCCTAGTCAACGCTCAACTCAGCGAGCAGAACTCCGAGCAGCTTCTGGCTACTGCAATCGTGGTCTTGTTTCTGGAGAAGAAGATGCAGGATGAGGAGGAGACCTGGGAGTTGGTTGTTGAAAAGGCGCGCGCTTGGCTTGGAAGCAATGTGGCGGAGGATGTGCTTGCTCGGGTATGGCAGCTGGCTGAGGGTGTTGTCGCGAAGGCTTCAACAATACCTCAGAGCATACACAAACGTTGGGTTGACTAAATTGTGAGATATTATCGTTATGTAGCCTGCAGGCCTGTTTAGCTTCTTGTTCTACAAAGTAAGTTCTTCAAGGCAACGTGCTATCGCTCTGGCTGCCAGCACTGTAGCTAAGGTTAAGATAGAAGCATGCACCATCAATTTCATTGCATCTGATCCACTACTACACATTAATTTATCGATGACTCCTCTCGCTCTTTGTGAACCATCAACGTGGAGCTAGACATGATGTCTCGCGACCCATCCTCTGTATACGCCTCATAGCGTCTTCGCAGCTTTGCATTCCATTCTTCCCCCAATATGCTGGCCCATCTTTCTGGTATTACGGGCACCGCCAGCGCGATGAGATACATCCCAATGCGCGCGAAGTAATTGTCGCGTAGTTCTCGATACGTCGCTGCGCAGTGCTCCATGTTCAGTGCGAGAACGATGAGGGGAATGGAAACGCTGAGAGATATGCCGACTGTGAGAACGCATTAGCGAGAGGAGCCCTAAAAGCAATGCCGACGGGGAAGGGTCACTTACATAACAAGCCAGTAACAATGCCAAGCGGCCAGTTGGTCTCTCCAGTGATATTATCCTTGGGGAAAGCGGCAATGCCGATCGCGAAAAAAGAGGACATGAAGGACAAAGGAAGAAACACTATGGTCACGATCGTGAATACCAAGATCGTCTATAGATAATAAGCTGGGAGGAACGGGACAACACGGGGCTTTCCTACATTTCCTTGTTTGCTCGCTGCAACTGTGGTTTCACGAGCTTCTCGTGCTTCCCAGGCATTTGCAGCCTTTTGCTTGAGATCCATTAAAGTATTGATCTGTTGTAATTTAGCCCTGTTCCGCTCTTTGCAACGTCCGCCATACCTTCTCCTGTATCGTGCGACTGTGACCTTCAAGCTTCTTGAAGTCATCTATGTCGGCTTTGATGAGAACCTCTGCAGCTGACGAGCCTAGGAAAGTCAATCCTTCCGCCTTTCGTCGCTGCTTGATGACCGTCCGTTGTATGTCTAGTACCGAAAGAATGATGTTGATCTCATCGAGGATATCCTTTATTTCAACTAGGAGCTTCACCTCCTCGCGGATATCCAGAAGATCGACGAGAAGTTTATTCTTTTTCTCCTCGTAGTACTTGTTAGTCGCTTTAAGCTGCATAAGATGTGTAGATCCGCGTTAGAAGGCTTAATTAGATTTGTCTACTTTATTACTGCGCTCTTAGAATAATAACATTTATTCTCTATTACTAATTAAGGTACTTAAACTAAATATAACTAATAACTCTAATACTTATAATTAAATTTTATTTTTAGTTCTACTTCTTTAACTTTATAACTTAATTAATTTTTTATTAAATATTAATTTTATAAATAGCTCTAATAACTACTACTATCTACGCTTAACTAGAACTTTTTTATAATACTTTTTTAAAGTTTTTATTTATATTTTTATTTTTTTTTAATATAGCTACTTTAATAGTATCTACTTAGTATTAAATATTAATACTAAGCTTAATATTTAGAATATTAAATATAAAGTATAAAACTTATATAGTATTTATACTATTTATATAAGTATAAAGTTTCTTATTTATAAAGACTTTTTAAATACTATATATACTATAGTAGAAAGCTTAATAGTAAAGATTTATATTAGCTATATAAATAAGCTAAAAAACTTAAGAAGTAGCTTTATATATAGCTTTATTAATATTATTACTTATACTAGTTTTTACTAGTATAAACTTTAAAGAAAATACTAGTAAAGTAGTAGCTAAGTTAAATAATATAAAAAGTTAACTAAAAAGTAGCTTAATATACTACTTTTTATAAAGTATAAATATTATATATATTAAAAAAGAAGTTTTAGATTTTAATAAGAAAAGAAAGTATAAAGCTAAAAATACTAGTAGAGATAGTAATAGTAGTAAAAAAAAAAGTAGTAGTAAAGAAGCTATATAATAAATATTCTTTATATAAGAATTTATATTATTATAAAGCTTTATAATACTTAGTTACTTTATTATTATAACTAATAAGCTATAGTTATTATATTATAATTCTTATAGTTATACGTAAAGTAATTATTATTACTTAATTTTTTTAAAAAAAGCTACTTTACTAAGTAATTTCTAAGTACTAAGCTATAAAGCTTAGCTTAAGCTTTTTTAGACTAAAAATATATTATATTTACTTTTATTTTATAATCTTTTTAATAATAGTAGAGAGCTATACTAGACTTAGACACTTTCTTAATAATACCTAATAGCTTATATATTTATCTTAATAGAAGGCTTAAAAGAGCTAACTCTTATTGTTGTTCTTCTACAGTTAGCTATAGTGAGCAGAGCATTATTTTCAAGACCTACTATTGTTCCAACACTCTCTTCGAACATCTGGAAAAAACGAAGCGGCTCCGCATCTAGTAGTCTATCAAAAACACTGCAGCAGGTCTCCAATATGCGTGAAGTAAGGTCTTCCGGTTTACGGATAGGGTGTCGTTTGCGGTGCGTCGGATCCAGGACTAGTAGTCTAAGATCGTCCATAACGCGGTGCGCATGCTGGCCCGTCCCTGTTCTGCTTGGGAAGCAAGATATGACGTAGTGATCCTGGGGTTCTTCCTCCGGATAGCTTCCATTGTTCATGCCCATCTGCTCGCGGCTTGTTCGAATCTCAGACGCCTTGTCTTGAGCTTTGGATGGGGACGCTTTCTGATGAGTGGACCAAAGCCAGAGTTGATCCACCATAAGAATGTTGTGCCGAGCCTCGGCTTTCGTGTTTTCTGCCCATCGAGACACTACCTGGTCCATGTCGCGCTCTTTGGTGTTGTCAAGCATATGGTAGTAGTACTGGTCCAACGTCCTGAACCATTAGCAGACAGACTCAAGAGAATGAGTAGCAACTTACCGTCGGATATGCAGAGCTGGAGGGTCATGTAGGTATGCGGTGACCAATGCCTTCTCTTCTTCTTCCAAATCATCAGGATCGTCCGCGTCATAGGTGTCTGAAAAGTCGGAGTCACAATCGTCGGAGGATGGTTTTAAGGGCAGACTGTGTCTGACAGGTACTTGTAGAAGTTCGGGTTCTTTTGACGATAGTTTGTGCGACAGATTGCGTAAGGCCTCCATTGTCACTGATCCCGGTATGTTCGCATCGGTGGTGTTTTGCAGTGAGTGCTCTTGGTCGACCTCTTGAACATATTCGGTCCGTCTTTCGTGTCGCATGTTGGCTTCATAGCTCAAGAAAGGTATCTAAGCACGTCAACACCATTCATCGAAAAGCTATGATGCAAAGCATACAAAGATCGAATGATGGTCACTCGTTCCGATATGAGGTGTTATGGCTCGCTGTTTCATTCAGTAAACGTGGGAACAGCTACACACGTAACGCACGTTGCTCAAAGATCCTGTAACAGATCGCCTCGTTTCCTGCCATATCGCAGCATGTAGGCCCAGCTTCGAAAACAGATCCTGACCTGGATTAACGCTAGTAATCGGAATTAACACGCTACATACCTCGACCCAAACCATCTGTGATATGTTAGGGATGCGCAAGAGAATTTCAGATGGGCTGTGAACCTACGTTGTTTTCTGGAACATGCACCCAAGTACAGACTGGTACTTTCGCGGCAAGCTCTTTGGGCCTCACCTGCCCAAGGATATCTTTCAAAGATGTGCTTCCGTACAGGAGCGCTTCGACAGAAATGTTCACACTCCAATGCTTGTCGCTAGATTTTGACACATACACTTCCGTGACCGTGACTTGATAATTCTTGCAGGCTAACTTACCTTCTTTCGAAGTGGGTGATCGACCGTTACCAATTCTCTGGGCGCTGGGACGATGATCTGGTCCTCTCACCACGCGACTACGCAACATTTTCGCTATGTGCCTACGGGATTTATGTCTCTCGGCAAGGGCTTTTGGAGTTCGCTTGTGTGTGTTTTCCACTGCAATGTCTGCGCCATGGTGCAACAAAGCCGTGATGATCGTCTCCTTTCCGTTGCGGACTGCGTGATGGAGTGGTGTATTCAGCTGGCTGTCACGTACGTTGACATCCAGCCCGTCGACGTTGAGAAGGCTGTGAACAAGTTTCTCATGATTGAGTCGTACGGCGATCTGAAGTGGCGTTTGGTGCCTATTTGACATGATCAGTCACTACTCGAAATGCACCTTGTGGAGTGCACCTGGCACAATAATATGTCCCAGAGAACATACTTTGTAGCACGGTACAAGGTCGCACTATTTCGACTTGAAATGTCCAGAAGCTAAGAAAGACCTGTGTACTTACAGCCTGTCACGTAGATTGGGGTTGACACCCTCTTTTAGTAGGGCGTCTACCTCCCTTGAATTGTTATCGATGGACGCTCGCAGAAGACCAAACAATTGGACATTGGCCTTCATTAGCATTGTCAAACGCATGAAGTCCACGTCGTCAGAAGCGGCGAATTTGAGCACGTGTGCAGCATCCCGGGAGAACATCAAGGTACGGGTCGGAATGCCCAAGAGTTCGCTGATTGAGCCAGTCCCTTGATCATCTCCTCGGGCGTGAATCTGTGTTATTGGAAACCCGATCGCAATACTCTTGAGGCTTGACGGACCCTGGTTCCCACGTGGTAGAGCTCTAGACGCATCTTGTTGCCCTTGTCGTGAAGATACTAAGCTAGTTTTAGCCTTCTCGCGCATCTGTCTCATAGAGGCACTGCCAAGGAGGTCATTGAGAACCTTCCCACTGGGTTTCACTCCATGGATCTTAGTAAACGACCGCGCACATGTTTCAGGATTAGAAAGTGGAGAAGAGAAGAGAAACACCCCCGCGGTGTGGGGTAAGACATTCGAGGCTAAGGCATGGCCAGATGAAAGTGATGCGAGCGCATGCAGTATGATCAAACAGCCAAATGAGTGACCAAGAAACACAATTGGTGCTTGACGGTCTTCTCGCAGTTGACACAGACGCTCATGGAGTGACTGTGCTGCAGCCTCGAGATCAGGTACGGTAGAGAGCATCGAAGACAAGTCAAAGCCGACAGTGATAACCCGGCTGCCAGGTACCCGTTTCCGCAGCATGTTCTCGTCCTGTATCCAGCTGACGGGTCGAGGCTTGACTTTCTCAAAGGTGATGCGGTTTTGGGTGTTCGTGAAAATGGTCGGCAAAACTTGATGATGCGTTCTTCCAATATCTGTCCTTGCACGGCGGATCTGCTGCGTTGGGGCGTTACTAGGGCTTTCCATGTGAGGTTGGGCTTGACGTCGGAAAGCGTCTAGGTCAAGGTCGGGGTCCGTAGACGTATCGCACAAGCCGGAGTTGTATAAGTAGACTATCACAATATCGACGAGGTGCCCGGTCTCCGGCCAAGGCGAACATCGTGAACGCGTCTTCCATCCACCTTTCGGGTCCACATCGATGCGACTCCACGGCTGTGATGTTGGTAGGATCTTTGGCTTTGCGAAAGCGTTCAAGTTTGGCTCTCTGTTCAGTTCCTGCACGGAGATATTGCTAAAACTATGTCGCCGTAGGCGGATAGCGGGCCTCAGTGTGTTTTCGAGACTATTCACTGGCGCAGATTGTGCGTCTTGTCCTAATGGAAGTGCTTTCTTCAACGATGGTTTCTCGATGAATCCTGCAGACGCGTCCGATTCGTCTGGTTGATGAACAACGATTTGGGGCACCGTGTGGTCCGCCAGAAGATCATCATCGACGTCACGTTCCAGTTTTTCATCTTCTTCGCTTGCAGAGGCGCCACAGGTTGAGTCTAATTCTTTCGGGCGAAAGAAATCGACCTGAGAGATCGGTTTGACTCTGTATCTCTCTTCCCAATCATTGAGAACCTCCCTCGCAGATATTCCTGTCCCCGGGCTAGTTTCGTGGAACAAATGTTCGAGGTCTATGCGTGGTCTTCCCGGCGTGTTGAGCTCATCGTGCGATGTGACTATGATGTCAGGAAAGTCGCTAATCTCATCTGATCGTCGGATTGCTAGAGCCTTGTCAGCCCCGTTACAGCTTGGATGGACGCAAGCTACTAGGTAATACTGCGCTATCTGAGCAATCCTTACCTGGATTGTACTCCATGCTGACAGACATGTAGAGTGTATACAGCTCGAATCGATGGAACGCGAAGCATTCTGCTAATACTCCCCGTGCCGTGCCGCTGCATGGAGAACAATTGGGGGCTGATTTCCTGTTGCGTTACTGGACGACTGGCGCCACAATCAAGCAGGATAGAGTGCGATCGGCGATCGGCGGGGCATATCAGGCTATGAGAATACCGAAAGGAAGTCTCGCGGGATGAGAGAAATGCACATGATGAGACATGAGAGATGATTTGGACCTCAAGGTGTTCAGCGTTGAAGCCAAAGGGTGTGAAGGTGGAATGCGCTCGCTGGGCGGTTCCGAGATCGGAAGTCTTCATTCCGACGCTTCGGGCCGCACCTTTGGTTGCAGAAGCGCCGCCTCCTCGTCACCACTATCGCAATCTACCAATACTAGAACAAGGATCGACTGCCGAAATGATATCAGGTACCCGCCTGGAAAGCTTACCGGACAGGATACCGTCTGCACCTACTGCAAAACTCCGAGACGCAGACGTACGCGCCACCTTTCCTTCACTCCTATCCGTACACCTTCCTCTCCTTGATGCTAATACCAACGCCCTTCATCGTACACTGAAACCAACCGCCAATTTTCGGCTCTCCCGTCACCTCAAAATCGCATTGCATAACCAAACGAGCCATTGTCTTGACAACGAAGAACCTCGCGAGATGCTGTCCAGGGCAGCTTCTACCTCCACCCCCGAATCCCATCCACATACTGTCCATTCTGCCAATCTCCTTCATTTTGTCCTCGCTACCACCAGGAAGCCATCTATCTGGTTAAACTTATTTGGATTTGCAAAGACCTCAGGATCAAAGTGTGAAGCCCAGAGATTAATTCCGACTGTAGTACCAGGCGGAAGGTAGGTATCGCATAGTGTAGCCCCGGAAGCGGGCACGAGGCGAGGGATGTACCATCCGAGCGTAGGCCAGATCCTCATGCTTTCTTTCATAATGGCGAGGAACAATGGTACCTTCTTGATCATTTCGGAATATTTGGTATCCTTTGAGATGCCCTGACTTTCCATAACCTTGCGTAGGCGGGCGAGAATGGCTGGCGACTTGTACGTATGGTAGATGACCGAGGAGAGTGTAAACATGAGTGTGTCGTGTCCGGCACCGAAGTTGGTAAGAGCTATCGAGAGAACCCATGAAGGAGGGAAACGTGCCTCTTTGTCATGATGTAGACGCATCAAAGTAGCCAACATGTCCGTTTCTTCAATGCCATCTCCCTGTTGCTCCAGTGGCTTAACATCTGTCCCTTGGTCGTGGAAGAGACCTGGTCGGTCCCCGGGAAACTTGACGTCCCTCGTACTCTCCAGTGCTTTCAATCTCTGCATTATGGTTGGAGCAGAGAAGCTGAAGACGGGCCAAACCTTCGGTAGTCGAACACCTAGCAGTAGGGACGCGGGTAGAACGAGCAACATGCCGACTTTCGGTATCGCATGCATCAGCTTTACGAAGCCTGGGAAGATACCAATAACGGTGAAGCACTGCCATAACGCATCACTGGCATCTGCATTCCCTTCGTCACTGCCTTTCTCTGTGTATCCTGGTCTCTTGCCAAGAGTGAACTGGCTCATAGACTCCAAGGCGAATATATGCGTCCATTCCGCAAGATCTACCTCTCTCCCTCCAGACTCTTTCAGCCTGCCAGCGAACTGATCGATGTAGGCATCAAGTAATCCCTCATGCTTTTCTAACCCCGCAATGCTATAGGCCGGCCCGATAGCTCTTCTTTGCCTGCGATACTTCTCCATGTTGGTTTCTGTCAGCATATCGAGAACCTCCTCGGCGGGTTTCCGGCTTTTGTCAGGTGCGCCAGCTATGCGGTACCAATCTCCTTTCGTGAACGACGTCGCTGCTCCATAGACGGTTTTGATGGCGTTTTCGTCACACACTAGGACTTGGTCGGGTGCTATGCGCACAATCGGTCCATAATGCGCGTGTAGCTTGGGGAAGTGGACATGTGATTGTCCTTTTCGAACGTGCCATGCAAGCCATAGCTTGCTGAATGGTGCAAAGAAAGGACCGGGAACGTTGCGTAACGGGTGGAAGAAAATTCTGTAAGTCGTTATGTAGACAAAGTATGCTAGTAACAGAGATAGCACCGAAGAGGCGGCGGAGAACATCTTTGCGTTCTACGGGCCCTTGGTGTAGCAAGACATTCGCCGGGAAGCTGCGACGCTATATAGCTGGAGAGCTTGATAAGCATCAACGCAAGCTTCAGGACACCCACGCGATCCCTGTTGGTTGACGAAAATCTTCCCTAATTACCAAGCAATTGTTGGAATACTGCCGGCGGTACCTCGCGATGGTAAGGTTGGTGCTTGAATGGCCATGCCGCTGGGCGCCTTGCGCAATTGCTCGCCTTACGCGGGGCTTGGAGATGACGACGCGAGCTGCGACGTGCAACGTTCTCTTATCGATCGTCACCTACTGTCCTAACTTGGCTGGGCGTACTTATTGTCATTTGAGCTGCCGTGGCTCTAGAACGACGCTGACGATGTGGTTGGGAGTTCGGACTGTGAAGACTGCACTGAGGTGTTGCTCCCGAGGTCGGGCGTAACCCGTATCCTGCTCTGAGACCTTTCCTCTTTTGGAATGGCGCGATCAAGCGTCACTACGCGCCTTCCGAATGGCACGAAGGATGCACCCTGATCAGATCTTACTATCTATGCTCAAAGACGCCTCGGACACCTTCAGTACCGGCAGCATCACACGTCCGATGGCCGTGCATTCTAGAACCACGAAAGCGCCGAGGGGCAGAGCCACCTTTCCCTTCACCAGAACTCACATGCCTCTCTGCGAGCCGGAGAAGCTTTTACATGTGCAGGATACAGGTCATATCCTTCAAATCGCGAATCTCTCACATCTGCAATGCAAGTTGCGCGTATGAGCCTTGAATCGACGTGGCAAGCACTGAGTGGGCGGGGTAGGCGGGTGCGCCCCCGTCCATCGTTACACAGCATGGGAGTGTGAACAGGTATTACCAGCAGTTCAGCCTACTCAGCATGACTTACACTTGATAACATGGTCGTTGCCTCTGAACAGGAAATCACAGAGTTTACATTCTCCTTTGCTGACAACAGCGAGACCTCACTACAATGTCACCAAACAAGGGCAATAACCCAGCTTCATCAGCATTCAGTTGCACTCTTTGCAAACGAACCTTCGCTAGTAATCCCGCCTTATCAGATCATTGTCGTGACAAGCATGCGATATCCTCCACTGCGAGCACTAGTACTGCTACTCAGAAAGCCGTCAATGCCCCAGGCACGATCCACAAGGAGGATGGCGAATCTGCAGCCCCTGCTGTCGTGAAGAAACTTCCGAGAGCTTGGGAAGGATCACTTCCTTCGCACTTTGTATCTGCACTCCACATAAGCTCGCCTCCAAAGCCAACCGCTAAAAACCCAACCAAGACATCACTGGCATACAAGCACGCAATCACAACAAGAAAACAGACATGTATACCGTCAAACACGGACGTAACTCCAGCGTTACCAAAGCAGAAGCTGGCGCATGTTCCAAAAAGCCAACAGTCCGCACCACTTACCGCACTTCATTCGCTCTGTCATACTCGAGCCACCCTCATGGCTAACAGGTACACGCTTGACACCAACCGCGATAAAGTCATAAACGACATCACAACACTCATGAATACATCTTTGCCTACTCCCCCACACGATTCCTACTCGCCAAAGCGAGGTGCCATCTTGCTGAACTGCTCAACGATGATAACACGCATATCAGCCATCGATTACTTCACCAGAGAGATCCTCCTCGATGCTATGATCCAGCCCTTCCAACCCGTTACATATTGGTGTACACCCCACAGTCATATCGCGCAAGAAGCGGAAATCACAACCACACCCATTGACGCAGAAAGCACACTACGAAGCTGGGCAGAAGCGCGTACAGAACTATGGAAATGCATCGACGCCAACACGATACTAGTAGGCCACGCCTTACGCCCCTCTCTGACCGCCCTTCGGATGCAACACACGCGCATCATCGATACATCGATCCTAGTCGCAGAAAAACTGGGACCAAGAGTGAAATGGAACTGGAGCGTCAAAGTTCTGTGTCATCAACTGCTCAACCTGCAGATTCAAGACGACGACAACGCGGGAAGCAATTCCATCACGCATGCGTTCGCCATACGGAGACTTGTTGAGCGGTGGATCACCAACCCTGTTGAAGTATCGATGTGGGCGGATAGACAGCAGAAAGAGTGGTTTGGTAGGAGGAGACACGCGCGTGACAGGGAAGGGGGGTATCTACCGAATCATGATGGTTGGGTCTTGGAGTTAACGACTTTGACGGGAAGAAACCCTTTTTGTCCAGATTGATGCATGTGCAAGATATCGTGGAGATGTCTTTGTTTAGCTTCAGAGACCCTATAGGCAAGACGGGGTATGATTGCCGATGCGCCTCATACAAGGGGTAGAACTAAACAAGCCGGTAGCTTACACTAGGACACCATCAAGGAAATGAGAATATTTAGTTTCAATGTGGGTTTCACGGGTTTGAGAAAGTGGGACATGATTCCGTTGAAGATGCGTTTGCAGCTCGGGAGGTAGTGTTGTGGTGTATTGAGCAGCCGAATAAGTTGAGAATGTGGGGGAAGAGGAAGAGGAATGAGTACTACGGCGGCAAAAGCAAGAAGACTAGTGTCAAGAAGGGGGTTAGTTCGAGGGGGTTCCGTCCGTCGGCTTCGAGACCGGGGTGGTGTGGGTGCCTTGAGGATGATGAAGACGTGTTGACGTGGTCGGATGTAGCGGGGGATTGTGGGGATAGGAATTATGATCCCTGGTCAGACTAGACTGGTGGTAAGAGGCAGATCTCGCGTTGGGACGTAACGTTACGATCATTGTTGACGATGCCAAGACAACTTTGATATGTCATGTCGCGTAATCAAAGAAAGGACAGGGTACATGAGCTTACAAGATATATATTTCAAGCTCACAGACGACAGCCATCGTCCAAGAAACGACACACCTTTTTATAATACACTTCTCTGAAAGATACCAGTCCTTAACAATGCCCATTATTCTCATCCATTTTCCCGTTGAACATCGAAGGAGAAGAAGGAGAAGACGCCAATGCATGCCAATTAATTTTGCCAGACTCGAAATGACCGAGAAACTTCGCACTCGCATTCGCACCGATTTCGCTCATGACCTCTGTAGAAACCGGGATTAACAACATGCTCAAAACGGGTAATGAGGTTACCTGTCTCCGAGCAGAGGTTGTGATTCGTGGCTGTCGCCAGCACCACCCTTCTTCTTCTTACCTCGCTTCTTCCTCTTCTTTTTGCTTGCGCCTTTGCCGCCGGCATGCGAAGACTCGGCTTCAGAGTGCTTCTCTCCATCCTGACCATCGACTTGGCTGCCGTTCGCTTTCTCCTCCGAGTCGCTGGAACTGGTAGTCTCCAAGACGATCTTCTTGATGCCATTGACATCGACAACGTTCTCAGAGATGCTACCGCTTCGAGCAGTGTGTCGCTTTTTCAAGGGACTGCGCGAGCGCGAGCGCATCGAGCGCAGAGAAGCAATGGTGCTGACCGAGCGTGCCCGTGACCTGTTCGTCTCGCCGTTCTCGCCGTTCTCGTTGCGGTTGTCGACCAGGAGATGGGTGTTTTCGTCGTCTTCGTTCGCACCACCCTTTGGAGACGTAGGTTCTTCGTCATGTTCCCTCATACCCGATCGACCAGATCTCCACGACATTCGGTCGCCACTTGGAGCCATGGTACCATATCCCACTGCTACGCTGTGTACGCCGTCGCTGGCTTCGCGACCTGCCGATGCTAGCAAGCCCTCACCAATACCACCCTCAGGCGCATGGGACTCCTGGGTTATTACACCCTCAGTCGGAGTTGCCTCGGTTGGAGCCTGGGAGTCTTCCGGTATCGTCTTGGGAATGTCAGGGGTCAAAGCTGTCTGGCCAGGCTTGATCTTGACAGTGTTGATGCGAGTCTGCTTGGGCCTAGTGGCGACATTCGAAGGGCCGAGATGCTTCAGGTGCTGCATAACGGTCGGATCGTCGCTGCGAAGAGGTGAACCGGCTCCCTTGCTACCGCTGCTACGGCGACGAAGGAGGAAGGAGGGCTTGGGGTGGCCTTCAGGCATCTCAGGTAGAGAGGTCTTGCGTGGCGCCGGCTTGCCATTCTGCTCCGCGTCTGTTTCGGAGTCTACAGCTTGTGCTTCGGAAGGTTTGCGGGGAATATCGGTCACGACTTTGCCTCGAGGAACGCGGGCGCGAGGGGCGGGGGCCATGCGTCGGATTGCTTTGTGCACGTCGATGAATACGTCGGACTCGTCGATAATTTCCCTGGTCTCATTAGTACAAACTTGGTTGGAAGATCCGGCGACAACGTAGGCGCCAGAGTATTTTTCGAGGATGCACGACTTACTCTCCGATCAGTTCTTCGATGACGTCCTCCAGAGTAACAACACCGACGGCACCGCGTGCCTCAGCAGGGAATTCAGAGACTAGCACCATATGGGACTTGCCCTCCTGGAAGAAGTTGAGAATGTCAAGACAGCTCGTTTCCGGGCGTGTCTCGGGTAGGGTGGCCAAAGCAAAGTCGCGTACGCGTAGAGCATCCTCGGGGTCGTACGTAATGAGCATCTTGACCAGAAGCATACCGACGAAGTTGTTCTCATTCTCGGGGGTGTGGATGGGAATACGGGAATAGCCAGCGGAAAGGATGTTGTCCATCATCTTCTCGTCCAAGATGGTATCGGACGACATGGTAAAGACGTCCTTCATGGGCGTCATGATGTTGCCGACAGCCTTGGCCTTGAGGTCCAGCACAGCGGTGATGATTGTGACTTCATCTTCATTCAGGCGCTCGTGCTCGAGTCCGAGCGACTGGTGCAGGCTGACGAGTGTCTTCAAGCCACCCTTCTTGTAAACGGTACCGTGGTCTTCTCCGAGGAGGTAATCGAGGAGTTTGGCAGTCGGCCAGGCGACGATTCCCATGATGTACATGAGGCCGAGAACGATGGGTGCCATGATGGCGCCGATTGGCAGACCATAGCGCACACAGATTGACTGAGGAACGACTTCACCGAAGATGACTGAGGCGTGTTAGACGTAAACAGAGTAGGTGAGAGAGGGTGCGCGTACCAATGAGGACGGTGGAGCTGACAACGGCAGGCCATCCTCCGCCGAGGGACCTGTCCAGGACTATAGGAAGGGTTTCATTGGTAATGACGTTACTCAGGAGTAGCGTCACCAGGACCCAGTGCTTGCCTCGCTCGAGCAGCTTCAGCACCTTGGCCGCGTTCTTGCGCTCGTGCTTCTCGCCGGATGAAGCAAGGACTTGGAGATAGATTTCGTCTTGGCCCATCAAGCTGAAGAGAACCTGTTAGCGCGTTGTGACACGATGGCGGGACCGCGATGTACTCACGCAATGGTCAGACCAGCAAACACACCACCAGCCAAGACAAGCGCGACGGCGATACCCAGTAGGAGCCAGCGCTCTCCATCGTTGTCCGTGGGGACCTCCTCTCCAGCGGTCCTGAAGGTCGCGTCGCCAAAAGGCATGGGCAACGCGGTCACCATGGGCGCGAAGGCGTGGAAGAGGCCGATGAAGGCGAGACGAGCAGTCCGCATCGAGCCATTGGCGGCTGCGCGTGGACGAGGGGCGCTCATGGCCATGGGAAGCACCTCAGTGCGGGAAGATGAAGAGTCTCCGAGTCGGGGAGATGGACTGGCGAGAGAGGTGGATTCCAAGGTCTGTGGTGGGCGCGCAAATAATGATGCGGAAGGAGCGGTTTGGTGGGTCTGCGCACGGTCTACAGATCTAGGCGTATGATGCAGCCTCCCAAAGGCGACAAAGGCGCGTGCAGTCTTATTGTGTCAGACCTCAACCCTTTGTATACACCCGGCGTAATTAACAGCAGCCTGTCCTTCTATCACGCAATAGCATCTCTCTCTGATCACAGCATGTGTACGCGTCTTCGGTACAAGGGGCCGGACACAAAGTTGACCCCGGGGCGAGGCTTCTTCCCGCTAGCCTGTATTGCTTTCCCCAGGCTCAAGACTAGGCGCCAAGTCCAACACGGTGCCGTCTTCCTACGATCACAGCCGTCTTTGCCTTACTCTGCAGTATACCCAAATCGAAGACAATCGCAAGCCCTTCGTATTACAATCGCACAGTGATTTAGGGGATTTGTCGCAAACTATCGAAGTTTGGACGCGCTAGTCTCCACCTGCCGTGCGAACCATTCTGGCGTCAATCGTCATTATGCAGCGCCTCCAGCCTTGGCAAGCTTCAAATCACGTTACTTGCAGTCACATCACGTGCCGGCACCTTCCTCTCTCGGCGCTTGCCCGCTAAACTCCGCAACGTTTGAAACCTGGAGAGCCGCTGGTAGCCGCGGCATACACCCGCACAACCGTCGGCTCACATGTTTGTGCCCAGCATGACTTTATTGCATGTACCTTTTCTGGGGTTCTGGGGAAACTCGTTGCTCTCATTTCTATAGACATGGCTGCTAGAACACCATCCATCCGCGCATTGTCGCGCTATCTGCTTCGCCCGCAAGCACCACTCCGGCCCCGCTGTCAACACCACCTTCAACGCAAACAATACTCCTCGGCAGCACCTGGCGCACGCCTCAATGGCACAGTAGAGTACGATGCAACGCCCATTCTCCACCACACCGCCAAATCCTCCCTTGCGAACCCCGAGTTCCCTGCAGATATACAGAAGGGTCAGACAAAGCGCATAAACCTCTACACCGCCGTCAACGAAGCCCTGCGATATGCATTGCAAACAGACGAACGCGTCATGGTGTTCGGAGAAGATGTGCAATTTGGTGGTGTCTTCCGGTGTACCATGAATCTGGCTGGAGACTTTGGCACAGAACGCGTCTTCAACACTCCCTTGAGCGAGCAGGGACTCGTGGGGTTCGCTATAGGAGCAGCTGCGGAGGGCATGAAGCCAGTAGCGGAAGTTCAGTTCGCCGATTACGTCTTCCCCGCCTTCGATCAAATACACAATGAGGCAGCCAAGTACAGATACCGGTCGGGGAGCACTGGCGTCAACTGTGGAGGACTAGTCATCCGCATGCCATCAGGCAGTGTTGGACATGGCGCACTGTATGACTCCAGCAGTTCTCCCTCTTGAAATCGACTGACACGTCACCAGCTACCACACACAGTCCCCAGAAGCCCTCTTCACCCACACGCCCGGTCTGCGCGTCGTAATACCCCGCTCACCCGTCCAAGCCAAAGGCCTCCTCCTCTCCGCGATCCGCTGTCAAGACCCCGTCATATTCATGGAGCCCAAGATACTATACCGCGCCGCTGTCGAGCATGTACCCGTTGACGCGTTCTACCTCCCGCTCGACAAGGCCGAAGTCCTCAAGACTGGCAAGGACGTCACAATCGTCTCATACGGCACACCACTATACACATGTTCAGCCGCGATAGCAGCAGCAGAGAGGGACTTTGGGTGCAGCGTTGAGCTGATAGATCTCCGGACGATATACCCCTGGGACCGAGAGACGGTTCTAGAAAGCGTGAAGAAGACTGGAAGGGCGATTGTAGTGCATGAAAGTATGATGAATGCTGGTGTGGGGGCTGAGGTCGCTGCTACGATTCAGGAGAAGGCTTTTCTTAGACTAGAGGCGCCTGTGAAGAGGGTGACTGGGTGGGCGACACATACCGGACTCATGTTCGAGCAGTTCGTTATTCCGGATGTTACTAGTAAGTTGCGACGTATTGACATGTGGGTGCTCTATTTTGCTGACATTGACAGGGGTCTACGATGCGATCAAGAAGACTATAGACTATTGAATCAATCATCTTCGAGACGATGGCATCCAAAACTGCGATGATTGAGACCCCGCTGACAGGCCCCTGCTAACCGAAGGACAGCCCCAAGTACCTAGGTAATCACACTCGCGTCGTCACGAGATGAGCGCACACCAAAAAAGACATGCCTCTAATGTACCGAAATAGCCTATTGGCTTCTGACATATAACACATCCCCCAGTTGGTCAGAATTGGAAGTCCGTTCCGTCTGCTCCTTCCTCGCCCGAGTGCAGAGGTAGGCGCCTGCTGTCAGACGTGGCTTGGTGTCTTATTCGTTCAGTTATCAATCTGCCTCATGCACCTTCGCTTCAGGCATAGCTGATGTTGATGACCTCCCAGCTTGAGCCCCGCAACTTTCTTTCGTCCTGCCTTCTCTCAACCAATGTTCCTCTGTCATCCCCAAGACAATACCGGAAGACTTCCAAGCTTCAGCCGAGGCAAGTCCAACTGAAGGTGTAATAACCCAGGCTTCTTATGCGCCTTGCCATCAGTCACGCCGCCTCGACAGCCTCGCTGACAGAACTGTCGTGCTCAGCCTTGCGGCATTTTTGGTTTGCGCAATAGCTCAGCTGCATCTGTTTGCCTACAAGTCAAAGCGTCGCGCAGGTTACCGATACCCTAGCTGTCTCTCGTTGCTTTCTTGATCGCTACTATTGTGCCGGTGCACAGGGTGCAACCACTCCACACCCTTACGCTATACTATTCGTCATGCCACCCACTGTGACTACTTCGACCAGCAGCGGCACGCCAACAGCAATACCAATCATCGCCACTCCTACTCCCTCAGACGGCTTCAATGGCGAAGAGTTCATCAACAACCTCGGCAGCGATTTGGCGCCTCTCTTAACGCTGTTTGGAGAGCAAGTTACGAAACAATTCCTCAGCATGTCGCTTGGCTGGGCCGATCACATACTTCTCGCTGTTGGTCCACTGGGAATAATCACTACCGTGGTTTCGGCAATTCGCGTCTCAAATGTTAGACTCTTGAAGGCTGTCATTGGTCGGTAGGTGACGTCCATCCCAGGTTAGCGAAGTTGCTAACAGTGATAGTGCGCGAGAGAAAATCGCGACAGCAGAACTGGAGCTACTCTCATCGACATCATACGCAACGTCGGAACTCTGGACTGACGAAGGGGTCGTAGGTCAAGCGGGCCATGCTAAGATCCTCGAGATTATTGTGTATGAGCCTAACTCTACGCAAAAGGTCTCAAGCCAGGAAGAAATCGAACTAAAGGCTCCTAGTCAGGTTCGCATCGGCAACCTCGGTGAAGCCCACAACGCAGGAGTTCTCAAACTTGCGGATGAAAGCCGTTCAAAGACGTTCACAGACGTGTTTGGCAGACTGAACTTCAGATCGAGGAAGCAGTCCCAAGTTCTCACTCCTTCCGGAAATTCAGAATTGCAGGCCGAATTTCATGCCAGACGTATTGCCTGGAAGCTGACCAGACAGCCACCGAACCTTGCACTCAATGTGCACAAGGCCCTTCCAACTAGCTCCGAACTATGTACATTTGCGATCGTTGGAGCTGCTCTGCAACTTGTTGCTGTAGCGATACCTACCGCGATGACATATTACTGGAGAAAGCCAAAGGGCATGAACTCTGTCCAAGACTACGCATGCCCAACCTTCTTTATAGGAACATGCCTACTCGTCTTGGGTATAGCACTGTGCTCGTACATCATCGAAGAAACGACTGATGAGCAGAGTTTCATACCGAAAAATGATTGCGACGTGAAGAATATCTTCTGGTTGCAACTGCGACAGAACATGGGCGATCAGCCCTTCAATGCGTGCGTCATCATGAGCCATGCTGGGGATAAGAAAATTCGCACTTCAAGATATGATATAGAAGAGATAGATGACGTTTTACCGCATCCAAGACGTCAAATTCAGGAACGAAGGCTCATCATTGCGGTTACCCTTTGCTTCACTGGTTTCATTTGCCAATTTGTCGGATTACGAGCACTCCATTGGTCAGCAACAGTCGTACAGCTTAGCATCACGCTGCTGATGACTTGCATTCGGGCTTGGATTCGCAGAGGGATCTCGAATCGTCCGATACATTTCAAGCTGGATCCGGACTTCAATTTCATCGCTCTTTCAGTCGGAGATGCTTGCAACAATTCATGGCCCACCGAGGGGGCGTTCTGGCCGGAGTCATTTCATGTGAGATTCCATCCGTAGAATTCGCCAGACGGTACAGACAGTACGGCCAGCGCCGGTCTGATCGACATCAACGATCCCAGGATCGTGCTGCGAGAAATGCTGCAATCGTTTTCGACTGAAGTCGATGGTGATCTCAAACTCCTCTCGGAGAGTCTCCATCGCGCCATAAGAGACGTGTACCGAATTGTCGACTCGCAACTTCGACACTCAAAAATCGTGTGGGAGCACGTAGTTGAGGGTATGAGTCCTGACGACAGAAAACTGCACTGCCACCGCTTGAAGCTCGAAACACATGGTTATTCGCTTGATAAGCAAGTGTTGCATGCTTTACTAGCATTGTGGAGGTATAGTGCACCAGTTCATAAAACCGAGATATGCGTTGCAAAGGTATTCTCTGGGAAGGACTGGAAAGAGAAGGTAGAGTCCCTCGAGTTCCACAAGCGGGTAAAAGTATCGGGTCTATTCCTCTCGGTCAATGGGGGAGTAGCACCGCAATCAGAGGGCATTGCTCATCGTCGGTATCCAGTTGGGGACTCTAGGGAACATCATAGATACAAATATACTGGGCTGAGTCTCGAAAACATGCAAGACCCCGGTACGTCTCATGGGGCCGGTCAGAATCGTCCATGTGGTTACCTTGCCATCCCGGTAGGCAAGCCGGAAGCCCATTTCGCTTTTGAGTTGCTTTCTGGCTTCATGGATGCGCTCTGGCAGACGGCGAAGCTGAAATACAATGCAGAAGCCGAGAACTGGTCTGTGGAGTCCGACGGCCATGATAAAGAGGTTGATGTAGATGGGATCGTTGACATTCTTGTGGGTACTGGGCTGGTGGATAACGAGAAAGATGCCCAGGTTTTGGTCTATTCCTCGCTTGCCCGATGCACAGTATGGAAAGACCCACCAGAAAGAGATGGGTCTACTTCCACGGCCCATCAGCATTCCGATCCGCCCCTATCTGCGGGCTTCACTACTCATAACGAGATCCCACGAAGGAGTCAATCGAGACCCACCACCGCTGGAACAGCGCAAGCGGATGAGAATTTGCAAGACGACGCTGCAACCCCCAGCAATCCCGAACACCGACCCACTCCCGCACCAATCATACCGATATCCAACGTATTCGAACCCACACAAGCAGAAGAGAGTTCTAAAGCCGGCTCTGTGACATCCAGAGTCTCTGCTCATCAGCCAGTTCCTACGCCAAGCACACCATCACCTCGTGCTTCAGAAACCATGCTATCACTGGGTGACAAGGGCAAACACGCGGCAAATTAGAGCATTCCTAAACATCATTGTATTTTCACTGCAAGAATTACAATAGCCAGCAGAACTGCAGCAGCAAGAACTCGGATAGAGGTTCCAAATTGTAGCGCGTATGGCGGGAATTTCTGAGAGTTGGGTAGCCGGACAAACCTCCAGTGGAAGTGTGCATTCTCAATGTATGGTTCCATTACACTCTTTTGCATGGCGCAAGTAGTAGCGTTCAAGTTTCCAGCCCGCACAGTAAGAACGGGAATGGCTCTCTGCGCTCCGCATTACTACTGCACATGAATAGCAGATTTGCAACCCTTACATATATCCACGGCCCATGGCCATGCGCGATCTCCCCAGATCTCGCTTCACTAGCGGCGGGAGTGCCTTGCGCTAGAATCCACTAACAGAACGCAGGCTATCTAACTAAGAGCGCGCTAAGATATAGCATGCTAAGGCATCTATACGTAGTTAATGCGCACGCTAAAGTAGCGCCTTAGTAGATTAATTATAGATTATTTTAGAAATAATCTTATCTAAATAATAATAATATAACTCTACTAAACCTCTCTACTAAACTACGCTATCTATAATAGCTTACTAAATCTAGAGTATACTCTAAAGAAATATATAAACTATTTCTAGATTAATTTATAAATAATTTTAATAAATTTAGCCTACTTATAAGTAATTTCTCTAGCTTAACTAATACTTATTTAGATATCTACCTTTTTCTACTAATATATAGAGTAAACCTATTATTTATATAGGTTAGCTATACTACTATATTAGAATCTAAGATAGAATTCTTTATAGAGTATAAATTATTTCTAGATTATTTCTTAATTATTTCTAATATTTCTTTTAGTAGAAATATATAAGTTACGCTACGCTTAAAAACTATTTACGCTAAGCTTACTAGCTAAGAATAGTATTTACTAGATAAGTTAGAAATTCTACTAACGCCTAGATCTAAGCTAAGATACGTAAGTTTATTTAAATTATTTCTTAATTAATTCTTAATTAATTCTACCTAGGTTTTTATATTTAGATTATAGCTACTTATAACGCTATTACTAACCTCTCTACTAACTTTCTTACCTCTTCTACTAACTCTGCGCCTATACAGGCTTCTGCCTAGCTAGAATCTAATAATAAGTCTAAGTTAGATTATTTATTAAACAATTTAGACTATAAGTTAGATTAATTAGTAAATAATTTAGACTATAATAATTTTAAGAACTCTACTACTGCACTAGATAATAAGAAAGAGAAGAAAGAGTAGAAAAACTAGAAATACTCTCTCTAGAATATTATCTAGGTTAATAATTTAAAGAGAGAATAAGTAAATTATTTCTTAAACGTTTCTAAATTATTTCTAACTTTTATAGCTTAACTTTACTACTATAACTAATATAGTTAGAGACTACTATAATAATTAGCTTAAAGATAAGCTTCTCTACTAAGCGTATAATATTAATAGCCTAGATATAGACTATATTTAAGGTAAGTTTTATTTAGATTATTTCTAGAACAATTTAGAATTATTTCTAATAAATTTAGATTATACCTTTTTTTAGAATAAAGAGAATAAGTGTAAATCTTGCTAGTTCTTCTTATACTTTTCTTCTAAGCGTTTACCTACTCTCTCTAAGAGTAGTAGTTCTAGTAGGTAGTTAGGTGCTATTTCTAAGTAAATTATTTCTAGAATAGTTTAGAATTAATTTAGTATAAAAAGATATATAGTATAAATAAAATAAATAAATATTCTATAACTCTCTCTCTACTATATACTTTGCAAATAAGTACTATTATTATATTATTAATAGAAATAATATACTATATCTTACTTAGTAGAATATACTAAGTAAAATATAGTTAATTATAAAGTATTTTTTATTTAAGTTTATAAACTTTACTTAGCTACTACTATTAAAAGGTTTAAGTAATAGTTAAAAGCTTATAAGTATATTATACTTTATTAAGATTTATATATAATTATACTCTTTTATTAGTAGACTAATAATTCTATAGCTTATAATTAAGTTTTTAAAGAAAAAAGTCTAGTACTAGTATATTAAAAAATATAAAACTAAAGATTTTAGTACTTTAAAAGTAAATAAGCTAAGACTTAAAGCTTTAGTACTATTATTTCTAAAGTAGTTAAAGCTTTAAAATCTCTTAGACTAGCTAAAAAGCTATTTTAATACTAAAGTACTTTATAATAGAATTTAAAGTTAATTTTTAAAAAGACTATAGAATAATAATATATATATATAAGCTTTAAACTATTATAGTAATATATTCTAAAAATTAATAGTTAGAATATATATACTAAGAATTTAGTAGAAGTATACTATTTATACTTTTAAAATTTCTAAAATATTTAGAACTCTAAAGATATATTAAAAATACTAATAGTAGTTTAAAGCTAATACTTAAAGCTATACTATTTAAGTATTATTTTTATAAGTTTCTAAAATAACTATAAGTAAATTAAAAATATCTTTTAGTACTATAAAACATACTTTATATATAGAAAAATAAACTAGTTAGAAGATAGCTTATAATTAGAGTTAGAAATAGTAGATATAGATATAATAGTTTAAGATCTAGAGCTCTATTAGCTTATATTAGACTAATATCTCTATAATATATATTTATCTCTAATAACTTCTTCTAAAGCTTTCTACTATAATAACTTTATTACCTTTATATATCTTTATTATCTAAACTTTATAAAACTTTTATAATAGAATCTAAGAGTAAAAAGTTTAGCTAGATTTATATAAAAAAAGAAAAAGAAAGTTAATAGAAACTAGTACTAGATAGTACTAGCTTATAGAGTAGCTCTTTTATAAGCTAGATCTTAATATTATTAGTTATTTAGTAGCTAGAAGTTTATATATTATTAAAGTTCTAAAGAAGTATATTCTTAATATACTAATAATTAAGTACTTTTTTAAAAGTAGAGATACTATCTATATCTACTTTACTATTATAGTATAGTAATTAGTTACTTAATTAAATTATATACTTAAAAGAAAAGTAAGTACTCTAGTAGCTTATTAAGATAGAAAAAGCTTTTTTAAATAAAAATACTATTTTATTACTTATTACTACTTACTTTACTTTTAGATTCTACTAATTAGATATTAGATACGTTCTATCTCTATATAATATATTATTATACTATACTTTATATATACTTAGAATAGAAGTTAAGCTATATCTAAGTATAAAAATAGAAAGCTATATTTAGTAGTAGTAGACTATACTAGAAAGAATTATTAAAAAAAGGTAATAAGAAGTAAAACTATAATAAAAAGATTTTTATATATTATCTCTAGTATATAAATACTATTATATAGATAGTAGTAATAATAAAGTTCTATTAAACCTACTACTATATTATAGTAAATATAAGATATCTAGAAAATATATCTATATTAAGATTACTATATAGAGTTACTAGACTATATTTTATTACTTTACTTTATATTAATATTCTACTATAATAGAAAAGTTCTATTAAAGCTAGTAAAGATATAACTATAAAATAGTTATTTTAATATAGTAGCTATTAGAGAATAGAAATACTATTATAGTTATAGTAAATAAAGAATAAATATACTAGTTCTATAAGTAGTATTTATATTAGACTATTACTATTACTATATTACGTATACTAGTATAGAAATATAAATATAATATAGTTAAGTAACATAGTATATAATTATAATATAGATATATTCTCTAAATATCTTATTTTATAGTAGGTAGTAGTATATATTTCTTTAAAGGTTCTAGTAATTAAAACTAAACTATAAGATCTAAGGCCTAATAGAGCTTAATAGAACGTACTAGAGCTTATTAGACTTAGATCTTAATATCTATATATATATTATCTTAGACTAAGAATACTATCTTAGTTATTTTTATCTTTTTAGGTTATATTAGTCTAGTAGTCTAAGACTATATTCTTATATAAACTATAGAGTTTAAAACTTCTAAGCTCTATAGACCTAGATTCTATAGAGAAAAAGAGATAAAGAAGTATATATTCTATATACTCTTAGACTATTACTATATATTATCTTAGCTATTATAAAAGTTTTATATATATTAATACTATATCTAGAATTATAAAAATAAATAGAAAATAAATTATTATATTATAATCTTTTTTAAAAAGCTTTCTTAAGTAGTAAAGCGTATAAAATTTTATTTTAATCTATACTAGTAAGTTATATATAGTACTTACTAAGAGTACTCTAAGAATATATTCTATATTATAAGCTCTAGTAAGATCTACTAAGCTTTATTAAACTTTAGATCTTATACTTTCTTAGAAAAGAATACTACTTTAATTACTTATTAATATCTACTTTACTTTTATATACTACTAGTTCTAGATTTAATACTTTATAATTTTACTTAGTATAAATATAATAAGTATTTACTTATATAAATCTTTTTTTATTCTATATTATATATCTAAATTAGAATTAAAACTATAAGTAGAACTACTTTACTTATTATTAAAAATTTAATTCTATTACTATAAACTAGATATTAGTATATAAGTAGCTAGGTTTATATTTTTATTTAGTAATTCTAACTATTAGTTTACGTATAGTACTAAAGTAGACTTTAGTAAAGATTTTACTACTTTATATAGCTTAAAGTCTAGTTATAAGTAATTATAATATAACTATATTATAACTATATATCTAACTTAGACTAATACTTAATAGTATATTAGTTAAAATAACTCTAGATATTATTATATACTAATTTAATAAAATATAATAAGTATATTTAGTAGAACCTTAATAGATAGAATAGCTAGTAAGATATTAGTATATATTAACTTTAAAAAATCTAGAGATTAGTTAGCTCTAGAGTTTACTAGAGTACTAGAAGGCTAGAGTACTAGAGCGCTAGAGCGCTAGAGCGCTAGAGCGTCTATACGCAGCCTGTACGCGCGCTAGGTTAGTGCCTTAGTAGATTAGTTAAGAATT